GAGATTTGGGTATGGAGGAATAAAGCTTTATTATTGTTTAATTAACATGGCTATTCTTCCATGTATGAAAAAGATACCATAATCAATGTTGAACTTGAAATTAAAATATTTAATATTTAATAGTTGACCTTGCATTATACAGGAAGAAAATGGTCCAGGGTGGCGGTCATAAATAGGCTAAATAGTGGCAAAACTATTTTATTAAAAGCCAACGTTTTTACCCTAATGTGCAGGTCTTCTTCAGGGACGTGTGTTCAGCTAGGAGTTTCACTTAGAACTGACTAGAACTGAGTTTCACTTGAGTTCTAAGTGAAACTCCTGGCTGAACACACCTTCCTGAAGAAGACCTGCAAAGTCGGGTCGAAACGTTGGCTTTTAATAAAATAGTTCTGCCGCAATTTAGCCTATTAATGACCGCCACACTGGACCATATCCTTCCTTTTGAAAATAAAATAGATTTCGTCTTTTATGTTTTTAATAAATTCTCATTGGATATTTATTTAATTTATGCGAATATTTTACTTTATTAAATTTCCACTGCATTTTGCCCTTACATTTCTTTCACTGTATGTGTAGGGTGAACCGAAATTCCTATAGAAACCTTAGTTTTCTTTAGGAAAAGAATGAATTTTCCCACAATATATGTGCCGTTATTCCGACAAAGAAAATATTTTGTCGGCCCAGCTGCAAAAACACGACCCCGTATTCGGCGGAGAAACTCAGTGTTTTCGTTGGAAGGCAGTCAATTTTTCAGTAGTAGTGGGATTGTAGCTTGAGGGATTTCAGACATTCTAAAGACTTTAGTGCACAGGCCATATTTCATGTCCTGAAGTAGCATTAATTATGTACAATTATTTTCTTTAATCCTTTACTTATTCACTTATAAAAACATTCTAAAAAAAAATTGTAACGATGCATCGTAGTTCTATATTTAATACAGACCAGGCAAGATTTTAAATTTTTTATTAACGTCAATCGAACCGTTCGGAAATAGTACTCTTTTTCATATATTAAAAATTTATTAATCGAAAGTGTATTATTATTTCATTGGATTGCATCGGTAGTTCCGGACTACCTTAAAAAACACATTGCTATCTTTAATTTATTAACATGCCGCCAGTCACTCTTCTGTAAATTAACTATTATATATTTCAAATGCCTTATTCTTTTCTTAGTTATTTAGAGTAAGGCCAATCGGAAAGCGTGAGTCGAAAAATCTGCTTTTGAAAGATCAAATAAAATTGCAATGTAAGTGGTTTTAGTAAATTGTAGATAATTCTTCATATATTTACAAGCAATTCATAGATAAATTTATAACTATTCAAAAGAAAATTATATTTTTTTAGCTTTCTACGTATCAATAATAATCTAGGGTTTTCATCGGATTAATTACTTTGCTATCTGTACCGATCACACGAAGGCTTCAAAGAATCACACAATAGCTGTCGGATAGAGATTTTAGCCGGAATAACGGACACGAGGAGGGCGTTAAAATAAAGGAAAAAATACTTCTAAAAAAAAGCAACAAAAAACAAGAACAAGGACGCCAAAAACCCATAGGGTGAGGGTTGGTGAAAGCCCCCCCCCCCCACTGTAAAACCATCCCATCAGCGGCACTAATGAATATAATCCTTGTCTCTTTGATACCCCACCTGCCTTGGCTTAGTGCCTGTCTCTTCGGGGGTTGTAGCTCGAGTTTGGTCCAAAATTCAAGGGGTCGTCCAAAATATATCGTTTTCAAAAATAAGGAAACAGAACATTTTATTTCATTTATTGTGTTAGATGCAGTTAATATATATATATATATATATATATATATATATATATATATATATATATATCAAATAAATCAAAAACTTGCAAATTGATTAAATTGAGCCGCTTATTTCCAAAGATGTAATAATAGCACCTAATGAATCCGAGGGTGCAATTATACTTTCAATGGGAATGTAATGATCTTGTATTTTTTAATGTACTTTAAAAAGCATAGTTCATCAAAAGATTTTTTTAACTTTTCTTAGCAAATGAAAATTAAAAATATATTGATGAAAATATGATTGGTTCGGACGTTCAGTAAAAAAGAATTATTTATTTGATTTCTTATGTTATCTTATTTTATTCCGTTTATTTCATTATTCCCTAACTTTGTTGCCGTTATTATTTATTTCATAGTTCTCTGTTACTGTTATTATTTTATTCATAGGTTCCCAACTTTATTACCGGTCATGTTATATATCCTAATTTTGCTTCGGCTACTTTCTATCCCCAACTTTGTTATTGTTATATTACACCATTTAAGTTTATTCTACCTACTTTATTTTACTTTAAGTCTAATGCTATATGTTTTTAGACTAAACCTTTTTAGCTACATTTTATTATTTTCTTTTTAATGTTAATAGTTTTTCATCCCTATTATTATCTGTTTTCCATTGGTAATGAAGGCCTGAACATTGGGCCGAAACGTCGGCAAAAAATAAAAACTTTTTTTTTACTAACCACCCCCACCAATCTTCCCCTTCAATTATTCACTACAGCCAACGATCAATCCACAATTAAAAATAAATTGATTTTATTGTACCTTTTTTGTAAGCAAATAATAATTTTTTAATTTTTTTTCTCCAAACCGAGTCCCAATAAACATTTTTCTGTTTCAAATTTGTCCATAAAGGTTAATTCGTTAAAAAAAAACGCTCCTATTTAAATTTAAATGTTCTTTAATCATTACAAAAATAATCAGTGATATTTTGAAATTATGTGCAATAAATAAAGAATATTTTAATTTAATTCTTAAAAAAATATATTGTTTTCGATATTAATATTAAAATAAATAAACAAATTGTCCATGTTTACTGATAAATTTTCAACTCAATTCGAAAAACTGCGATGACGTTCTAAGATAAATAAAAAAACGATGATTAAGTATTTACTGTCTGCAGTTTGAGCTATAATTTTTTCTCACCCTCTTTAATTATTAATAGTAATTATGAATTATAAACTCGCTAAGTATATGCAACTAAAAAACTAATCTTTGTTCTAGAAGATTTTACTTATTAATTTTTCACATAGAATATTCTGTCTGCATATTTTTCTTTTCTCATTTTCACTTATTGTGTATTTAATTATTTATAACGACTTTTATCCTATAGCTTTGTTCTTTTCGTTCTTTTCTGTATTTATTTATATTTAATTTCATTACTCATTCTTAAGTAAAAAGGTCTTAGGTAAAAAGGCACAAATCTCTTTATATATTTTTCCTATTTGTTTGATATCACTCTAGCATCATATTGTTAGAAAATTTCTGTGATGAAATTATGTTGTTTACAGTCCTCTATTTTTTAAAAAATCATTTTATACATATTTCTAATTTATATTTGAATTATTTTATCCCTAATAATGTCGCGCCGAAGTCTGAGTCAGGACGTCGTATTTTAATAAAGAATTGTTTTCATTGTTATTTTTTTTTTTTTTTATGTCTGATTATACCGAACATTTAAATTGGTGATAAAAGAAAGTTAAGAATAATTTATCGGTTTAAGTTTTAAAGGCCAGAGATCAATTAAGAATATACTCGGTGGTGAAGTTTGTGTTAATCCTGCCTCTGCGTCAATCAGCACTTATTTAACAACAAAGACTACAGACGCCCAAAAACCTGTTGTTTAACAGACTACTCCTGTCGAGTGCGAACATTATTTAACAAACAGATCTGCCATTGCTGAGTTTAAGAACAATAAAGCCTCCCACTCGAAAAGTCCTCTGTCAAAAAGTTTGTCCCTCTCATTGTCCGACAGTTTACAATGACCTGTAGGTGGGTTTAATCGTTAGAATTCAAAGGACGGAACACGATTGACTAGAAATTATAAATTATTTTAAAATTAGTAATCCTTAAATAAGTAATTATTCATAAATTATATCTATTCAAATACGTGAACTTAAACTTAAAATTATTAAATTCGTTTAATCATGCTTTGTTTAAGATTTTTAAAAATTATATTCATTAAAATTTGAGATAATCTCATAATTATCTTATTTTATAATTATAATAAGAAAACGGATTATTTACTTTTAGTACTTTTGTGCAAATTTGAATCCTTTGTTTGTACCCACCTGGCTTTTGTTTTTCGTTTCCACATTTAGAATTGGCAGGGTTTGTTCAAATTGCCAGATTCGTTCCCAAGTAGTTTCTTTCCGGTTGGTTATTTATAACATTACAACAAGGTGTGAGACAAAAAAAAAAAAAAGAAAGAAACATGATTGGTTGTTAGGAATTGTTTGTTTCAGTCGCAAAACATCTTAATCATCAGCGTCCGATCAATAAAATACTGCTACTACTAATTAAAAAAAAACACAAAATTTATTACAAATAAAATAAATAATGATAGATATAAAGAGAAAAAGTATACACATAAAAAAAAAAAAAAAAAAATGATTGGCTGGTCAGAAACACGCAGAGGGTTTTATGATTTTGTATTTCTGCAGAAAGAAATAGCATTTTCGTTTACCTATTGCAATTTTAAAAGGAAACTAAAGATAACAAAGAAATTGAGAGGAGTAAAATTCTTCAAAGAAGATGGTTGATAAAAGAAATCATTTATATCATACCAGGAATATCAACCGGAACAGGAACTATTAAATTCAACATCTCACAATAGCAAAAAATATAATTTTTTTTTTTTGTTTTTTTTAGAATTATATAATTGAAATTTATCTGGTGACATTTTGACTTAAGGATCAATAACATAGAGAAAAGTCTTTGTTTTCATTATCATATATTTTTTGGTAATTGACTGTTATATCATTTTTTAACACTATAAGATATTATAACTTTTTTAACATTTTTTTTAGGAAACTAAAATAATCATTGTCAATTTATTTTCAATTTTCTACAAAAGCTACAAGGAACCTCTGGCTAACACCTCGGTATGAAACCAATATTCGAGGGAGTAATCTGGAACAGTTCCTAATCCCTGAGCGAGGCAATATCCCACCTAACCCGAACAACAATGCAAACAGACAAGACAATACAAACAGATCAAACAGACAAGACAATCAAAGACATCTGTAGGCAGAGACAGAGACGGCCCGGACGCCACCCCGTTCCCTGGCTATTAGTGACGGAATTGGTTCACCTTGTGCAGCCATTAGCTGCCAGGCAGCCTGGATGTCCTCATCATTATTCACTTGTCCTCTTTACCGCCGGTCGGATGTCTAGGCCTAGACCGTTCGGGTTCTACCTCCGATAGGTCGTAAGCTCGCTTGACAAAAATAAATGGAAATTAAAAAAAACAAACTAAGTTGTATGCTTTAGACCACGCGATAGAAGCGAAAACATCAACAAGGCGAGGCTAATAATATGAAATATCAATTATAAATTATAGCTCATAATAAAGAACATGGAATGCCTTCGCTTATAGTATGCAGGTCAGATTTTTAGTTTCTGAGATATTTTAATCCGTATCTTCTATAAAACTCGTTATGATTTGGTTTTCAACACAAATTTTTCCCTTTTCGCCTCTCTAACACGGCGTCGCGTTAAGATACAATTTTGAATAATAGCTAACTCGCAAAGATGATGAAATGATTAACATTTCTCTCTCTAACAACATGCAGGGCCGATTTTCAGTTTTTGAGATATTTTAATGCATATGTTGATGTATATGATTCAATTAGTCGATTCCAGCCGACTTCACCCTAGCGTGACACATCGGTTATCTGATAGTTCATTCTAATTCACTCTCCACCAAAAAGTGCGAAACGCGTCTAAAGAAGTATTCTCTTCAAAAAGAAAGAGGCAGGATAGAGAAATCACAAATAGTATTGTTCTACAAATAATCCAATTAACACTGTTGCTATGTTAAATTATGAAAAATTATCTAAATCAAAAATTGGATAAAAACTAAGTATAGGGTTCATTCCGTATAAAGTGTTAAATTTTCACTCGTTTAATAAATTTTGTCGCACAAATTACAAATAACGTTTGTGGAGTCATTTTTAGTAAAATACTTCCAATCTTCTCGACATCACGAAAGGGTCACTAAAAACGTACGAGAAAATGGAGGATGTTAGTTGACTTGACCAAAGCTGATATAGATATCATCGTGAATACTCCACATCAACTAATTCACTATGGAAAGTTTGTTTACATTCATTGGTTGCTATATATATATATATATATATATATATTTCTTTTTTTTTTTTTTTTTTTTTTTTATTTGCGTCATCTTGCATGATTAATATTAGTTAAAAACCGATACATGGGCGGTCTGTGTAGGAAAGTGTTTAGTTTATAATTAAAATCTGATTGATGAATTGTGCTTTAGGTATTTCGGAAACCGTATTTCTGAATGCTGCTACAGAAGAGTCCCATGTAGGCGTTCGGCTGACGGACAGACAGACAGAATATTTATGAATCGTTATCTGCAGGGCTGGTTCTCATTAACGGGTCACCAGGCTCTAGCTCAATCAAGTCCTCTTTCGAAAAGATATTTGTCAGTGTCCGTGACATGTCTGCCTGCGTTGGGAAACTAAAAAAAACCGATCCAATTACATTTGTCTGATTAATTAGCGAGGATTGAAAAGTCATTGGGAAATATGACAGGGATCTTTCACGTGGGACAACCGTAGTGCTTACTGTTATGCAAACAGGACATCTGTTATTTAATTTTTATTATTTTTTTTTTTTGTTCTCTTTCCTTGTCAGAGACGTTTAACTTGTTTTTCCTGTTATGATTAATTATATTACTTTCCTGACGTTTATCGATTTCTCCGATTAATTGAATTGAAAACTACGTTTTATTTAATATACTTATAGGCATGTTTAGGTTTTTTTAATTTAGGTTTAAAATTAATTATAAATAAAAACATTATTTTAGATTGCGTATCTAAGAGATAGATTAGCAATTATTTTATAGACATTAAAAGTGCTTTGGATTCTTGTCACTCATTCACAGAACCTAAACACTAGCTCAAGTTTGATGTCTGTATAGAAAAACTAAAGACGATTGAGTCAATGAAGATTCTTGAATAACGAGTACTTAAATTTATATTATAAAAAGCTTTATCATATTATCAGAACTGAAGACGTTTGTAAATGACTTGATAGACTTATTTCTGATAGATAAAACGCTTTTGACAGTAAGAATGCAGATTCATCCTTGGAAATTATCTTGAATTAAAAAAAGCCTGTAAGAGACTACATCTTGCGGCAAAAGATCTTCAAAGCCTAAAGCGCCAACCGAATAAAACTATATATATATATATATATATATATATATATATATATATATATAAGAATAAATACGGTTAATCTTACATATTTCGCATATTATTCTTCATGAGTGAGTAGTGAGTAATTAAAGAATAAGTTTTTTCGCCTAATCCCAGACCCATTATCGGTCTATTTACCTAATTTATACCCTTTTCTTGTTAATTAGAGTTTGGCTTCACTAGTAACCACGAAAATATATGTTATAGAGGATAGCATAGCTACGATAACCTGTTATAGTCCGATAATGACGGGTTTGCAAATTTCAGAAACACTAACAGACACAGGCGGATCTACAGGGGGGGGGGCTTTCGGGCTGAAGCCCCCCCCCACCCAAAATGGTAAAATATAACCATGTTTTACAGAAAAAAATATAAAAAACTATCTCTTTAAGTACTCCTGTTCGTGTAATTACATTTAATAGGACTTCAAGAACCACTTAAACACCATTTCATATAGATAGTTAATATCTTTCTTTTTTTTCTAATTAATTATCGTTATATGTTAATGAAAAAAAATCTTTCGGGCTGAAGTCCCCCTCCCAAAACTAAATCCTGAATCCGCTAGTGCTAACAGACAAAAACAAAACAAGAAACAGGATTTAAACTTCTCTGTATCTTCAGAGAAATAAACATAGGCATTGAGAATCGTATTTGCCTTAAATAACTAAATAATTCATAGGCATCTAATTATTGGTTTTTAAAATAAATGAAAAGCGAAACAAAATAGTATTCCAAGTAAGAATTATGTCAATTTATTCTGAATATTTGGTGACTCATTGGAGGCTTCTTGGTATGTTGTAAATTATATAAAGGGAAAAAAAAATTCCCATGACCTTTACTGCATTAAGTAAAAACTAAATTTTTCTCAAAGGTTGAAAATGTCAAAGGAACTAATATTAATGCTAGAGAAAAAGTTCCCAGAGACAAGAGAAAAAAAAAATTAACAAGCCAATAAAGTGTAAAAGGGGTCGGAAGAGATTTTAAATAGGCCGGCAAAGTACTTTCTTCTGAGGGACCAAACTTTATAACAGAATGAGTAAAATACATAATGGCTAACTTTTTACGGCTTCCATTAAAGTGATTTAATTTTTCGGGATAATAATTTCGATTTATACATTTATTTATAGCACGATCGTTAGACAATTTGTATGTTTTCCTTTCCCCTCCGTTTCCCAGTTATGAGACAGATCCAAGGAAATGCCCGATAAAGTTTGATTACAGCGGCCCTAAGGCGACTTATAGCAAGAACCATTCCCCCAGGACTAAGTCCGTAATAGGATAATGCAATGGAAGCTGCCTCAGCACACAGAGGCACCACTTTTGATATTACTTCTCCTAAGGTACATCCAAAACCTCCTGTCCGCTTTTCTCTTTCTTTTTCTTTCTTTTTTTTTTTTTTATTGTCAGGAGTTCTATTCCCATTTTATTTGTTCAGTACGTTTACGTTTTATGGAAGAACACGATTCATGGAAGTCAGTGTTCATTAGAATTCATTTGTTTCACAAAAACCAATTCGTCAAAAAATACGAAATTTCATAATAAAACGCGAATCAGTAGAATTTGAAGAATTTTGGGTTAGTGCTAGTGTTTGTTTTAATTTTTATTTTACTTTTGTGTTGCTTGAGAAGTGTTGAATTTTATGGTTCTTTATAAGATTTAAATAAGTTTCTTTCTTTTTTTATTTGATTGCTATTTTATTTAATTTTTATTGTTCTTCCTTTTGCTTATTTTTAAAATTTTAATACTTATAGTACGAATAATATTAGACATACAAACTTGAATTGAAAATTAAACGTGTAAAATAAAAATCTTAATATACACCACAATCAATCAGGGAAACTCCAATTCGGTGTTCTCCCATCTTTGAGGAAATGAAGTTGACTTCCAAGAGATCCCGGGGTTTCTCTCTCAACCACAAGGGCGCTTTGTAAACGCCACTTTCTTAAGAACTGTCTAATTTAATTTGTTATGCTTTTATGATTTTTATATTTATTTAGTATGATCTCAATTATGAAATTATGATTTTTTGTTAGAATCATTGACTAATTTACAAACAAAATGTTCCTCCTTTTTAACTTACATTTAAAAGTTGATTATAGGCCATGGGTCTCCAAATTTTTGGGTCTCGGGCCTCATTAAGACCTCCACTGTAGTTCCGCGGGCCATATTTTGTGATGAGAAAAAAAATGTTCTACAAATGACTCATCAGCTGTTAAATGAGCTTGCTACAAGAAAAAAATGTACAATAAACGTTGTAGTGACCTCTCGTTTGAGTGATTTGCTTCGTATTTTTTAATTGTATTTAAAATTTTATCATGTAATCAAAGTAATTTTTACGGGCTGGATTGAAGGTGCTTGCGTGTCGTAGTTTGGAGACCCATGGTATGGGCAATCAAAATAACCGATGATACAATCGGAAGAGAGGGTTAGCATTGCACTTCCCAAAGTATCATCTACACCCAAAATTCATTTACACTTCTGGATAAAAAAAGGATCAAAGAATTTGATTATTGGGGAAAGGAATGCTACCCATAGTACGTAGAAAAAGCGACGTGCCAAGATCAATAGTTCGTTTAGTCAAAATTTTGTTCGACAGCTTTCGTCAATATAAAAACAAACCTTGGGTTTGAAGTAATGATAGTTGCAGTAAATAAGATGCAGTTAAAAAATAAAAAAAAGTAATTTGATAATATATTCAAACATCGTTTTTTTTTTTTTTTTTTTTATTACTTCTTTTAGTTTTTATTCTTAAACTATTTATTAGATAGTGATTATTTGAACTGTGCAGCTATTATTTCATAACATATATTTTGTGAATGCTCATGATATTTCTTATGAATTTTTAACATAGTAACGGTTTCTTTACAGATAATCAGATCTCGTTATTATTGTTTAAGCGCATTATATAATGCTAGCGTTCTCATGTGAACTGTCAGAGAGGGGCCCGTTAGTCCGGCATCAGGAATATCCTCACCAAGTAGGGACCGTTTTAAATGAACCGTTTCTTTATACATTGCCTTGTACAGTTGCCCTCAAATAACGGTATATTATTATTATAAAGTGGACTGGAATTATTCACAAGATGAAAGAGCTCCTGGTCAGTCGCGTGTGTAATATGGTCCGAAAGTGGGCTGCCGCGTCCATACCATTAACAATAGAGCGGCCATTATTTAAATTATTAATGTCTTATTCATGCTGATAGGGGATGATTGCGCGGTTTCCGAACTGATTTGTGTCGCATTGTTGACGGAAGGGCATTAACATTCAAAGAGACACAGGGGAAATGCCACAGACGATAGGAGCAAGAAAAACAGCCCAGACCTAGAGCAGACACAGATAGGATATTTGCAAGTCAATATAATCGCTTATCCGTCGGATCCCCCGTCTTTTGACTAAGATTTAATTTAACTTGGTATACGATAAACTTTAGCTGCTCGGACGTTAACGAGACCAGACGTCTGCCCTCTTAGCTCTTGTAGAGTTCTCTACTTAGGTTCCCTACTAGTTTACCTCTTGTCCCATCTGTCCTCCGTCTTCCATTGGTCTTTTTATTCGGAGCACAATACTCCTTGGTAACTCGTCTACTTGAATACTTTTGTATGGTTTAGTGTCATCGAAATATACGGTCCGTGCTGTTAGCCCGAAAACAAGGAGTCTATCCTACAAATTACAAGGTTTCAGTGTAGATCACTTTCCTTCTCAACGTGTGTTAAGGAATACAATTTAAGACTAGAAGTAACATCGTCAAGATTATATATTCCACTTTGTTGCACCAGCTATTCAAGAACAACTTTTACAATAGTGTGGATGCTTGTTGATGTTCAGTATTGACACCTATAGACATAACCAGACAAGGAACTTTTTCTTCCCCCCAAAATTTTATATTTCATAGTTATTTACTCTAAAATAACACAAACAGTTTAATAAATCGTACTGTTAATACTTATTTTATATTAATTTATTTATTTTATCAAATAAAAAAAAGACGAATCTGATAAATGAACTACTCCTTTATTTATGGTTCCAATGGATTGAACACTGTTATCATATTACACTAATCCTTGCCTCCCAGCCAATATTTCTCAAGTGTCGGCATCTATGCCTATATTTCATACATGATTCAGATGACGTACGCATTATATCAACTATATGTATGCAAAGATCGAAGAAGAAAAACTGTGTTACAAAAAGATTTGAAACGTTTTTGGCTTTGTAATAATTAGAATAAATTGATTTATATTTTAAACTTCAAGATAAGAATA